GCTCTAAACCTTAAGGCTGGGCTTGACACAGTTCAGCTACAGAAACATCCTTGTAGGTACTGTAGATAGACGAGAGAAACATAGCTGCATTCTACAGTATGCAAATTCTTGCTTTTTATTTCCCAATGTATTTTATTTCTTGCTAAAAGAAAGGTTGATAGTCATCAATTTCAGTCGGGTGATAATGGATATGTACAAGTGAAAAACTGAGCTTTTCCACGTTATTTCAGTCAGGTGGGGTTTACACTGTGCTCTTACTTTTCTTTGCAGTTTCTTGTGCACGGTTACTGTAGTTCAACCACTGTATCTTTTCTATAAATATAAACTGCAATAATCATTACTTATCCACTGAAGTGCAGATTGTCATGACGTTACAAATGAGCAGGAACAATCAAGTGAATTAGTTGAGCTGAAGAAACACCACTTAAATAGCCTGATTTGTGTTCACATGCCTGAAAATCTACAAATGAGCAGGAACAATCAAGTGAATTAGTTGAGCTGAAGAAACACCACTTAAATAGCCTGATTTGTGTTCACATGCCTGAAAATCCTGTGAGCCTAGAGGAGGGGGGGGGGGGCAAAAAACCCTTTGTAGTGCACTAGGAGATTGTGGGTTTCACTTACACCTAAAAGGTAAAGCAGAGGTCTCAGTGGAAAATTATTCATTTCAGCACTGCAACAAAAACGTCAATACAGTCTTAATCAAGGCCACCGATCGCTGAAGTGCACTGAGATGCAAAGCACTAATACACGTTGATTGTGAGGGAGGGCGGTCAATTAAAAAAAAGGTTTGATAAGAAATGCAAATAGTATTCACAAGGTCATTAATGGTAGATGCGGTGTTTCTTTCAGCTGCTATCTGCCACTTTCTTTGGCAAAGAGAGAAGAGATGAACAGCATTTTTAAGACATTAGAGAGAAACACTACTTTAGACTTGGTCCAAGAATATTTTTTTAAATTTGCCCTTGTCTTAACTTCTCATATACAGTAGTAAGTCCATAGTTTTTCATGCAACACAGGCCTCTTTTTATCCCCTAATCCCTTGCCAAGGACTCCCTTTTTTGGCTAACACCATCAAAAGTGCCAAGTTTCTCCTTTTTTCCTTATAATCACTCTACGATTTAACCCACGGCCACCAGCTCCCTCAGATTCCTTCTGTGAGTGGGTCTGATAACATTGTGGTTTGCTCCGTTTGAAGGTCAGAATTCAGGGTACAATTAGCTCACTCCTATTTTGTCAGGAAATGTTGATCTACAGCATAATCTGACCCGGAAGAGTGCAAACAGACGGCGTGCTCAGCGCTTTTTAAAAAGCAGCAGCAGTCTCAGGACTCGGGTTTGCTCTGACAGCTGCTCACCATCTAAATGCAAGGAGGTGGATCATGCCCTCAAAGAGCGGCACATGAGAACGCAATGAAACTAACTGTGTTGTAATAAAACTCCATGAGAGTAGCTGCCATGACCCTGTGACCAGCTATCAGAACGGTAAAGCTAAAGCCAGTACAGAGTGAGAGGAGCTCAGTGGAGATCACTGCACTAGAACCAATAAAATACACATGGAAGTCCTGACAAGAGCCAATAATATTTCAGCCAACAGCCTATTTCCCATCTATCAGAAGCCCCTTTTTATTTACTACCTACACCAAGTAAATGACTACAAAACAGGATGAAAAGCATTATGCTGTGGCATGTACTATATCTTGGGTGGCTTTCCTGATGGAATTGGCTCAGCATGTGTGTCATGTTGGAAGGAGTTTGAGGGATATAGAAGCATAGCTTGGTTTGTTAAGAAGGCAGGCGAGATAAAGAAAAATGATGTGGCTCATCTTCTGTACCTGTATTCTATCAGCTCACCACAGACTGCAGGTCCTGGCTGCAGAGATGAAAGACTCTCCGGAGGACAAGAGAGACGTTTGTGAGTCAGAAGGAAAATGGCATCCCGCTTATCAAATGCCTGGAAATGTAATCCCACCCTCTCCTCAGTTTGGGGTCTGGACGTACTTATGAAAGCCCTGTCACTTTGGATAGTAGGTTAGGAGTCAGAAGTTCTTCACTGCACACTGAATGTTGGGCTGGCTGCTTCGAAGCAGATATGGCTCCTTGCCAGATTTTCCTGCTGTAGTCTAATTGGGGTCACAAGACAAGTCATTTTGGATGTGTAACTTTTAGAGGCAGAATGAAACAATAGGAAATCCATGCAGGAAGCGTATAACGGATGGAGGTAAGATCCTCTTTAAATTCATCTTTTACATTAAAGTACAGTGTGTGTAAATTTTCCCTGCATGCACTGCAGCAGCTATAAATTAACTGCACTAGAAAGACTCAATTTTAAATTAAAAGCCCTGGGATAAAGGCAAAAGGAAGAGACACCCAATAGTGGATTATTTTCTCATAGAGCAGGTTCATCTCTTGTGATTAAAAAAAAAAACAGCATAAGGACTGAAAATGAAACAAGCCCATTCTGTGTGGAAGATGAGACAAAACACAGATTGTGTACACCTGGTTAAGGAGAAGACATCTTGTCTGTCTGCAACAAAACATTAAGTTATCAGTGTTTTTATTTGACCTCATTTGTCCTCGCAAAGTGTTCCTCTACTGCATCTCTAAAAGCCTCAATTGAACTGCAAACAATCTTTCTCCAAAATCAAGGTTTCTACAATTCTCTAAATTCATTTGCTATGTCACAAAATCTTAGCAACATAAAGCAAAATATGCAGAAGCTTGTCTGAGTGCATATTTGATTTTGGTCTAAATCACACAGAGCTGTGTTATTCTCGGTCTTTGAGGACCAGCGAGGGGCAAAGAGTGAAACTCATCACCGCTGCCCTTTCAAATATGCAATGACAGTCAGTTAAAGAGACACGTCCCTGACTGAATTGTCTTTCAAATCAATTTCTTTTGTGCTGAGGCCACATCCCCTTGTCCATGCTCCTAGGTGTCTGTTCCAGCACTCGGAGCAAGGTGATGGTTTACAAAGCAATGTGCAGTCTCTGGAATATTTCTTTTCATGGCTTATCTGACCGCACCCGGAATCTGTACGGACCACGACTCCGATCCTGACCCAGCTCTCATGGGAGCATGGGATGATTTATTCAGCACAACTTAGCAGCGGCGCAGAGATTTGTGAGTTAGGTCAACTGCAAAGCCATAACAGCCTTTTTAACCCAAGAAGCCAGTGAAAAAAGACTAAAGGGGGCACTGAATGATGCATTACCATTCAAAAATGACCTTTCCAGTCTTGACCAGATACTTCACTTTAGCTACAGCAGAAACTACAGAGAAGAAGCAAAGTTAAAGAGCCATGTCTTAGCAAATGATGTATCATTTCAACTTGATTCTCAGTCTATAGTGGAAACAGAAACCTGGTTCACATTGCACCTTCTGGGCCACAGCTCTTTGCTCTGTCCCCCCATCGCTCACTGCCCATTTCTCCAAGGAAACAACAGCATCCACGAACCTCCCTCAACTCATCCCTGAGCCATTCTTTTTCCTGTAAAGTGACAGTTTCAGGTTACATACATTGTAGCGATAGCATGAAAGGCTTCCTCCTACTTTGTGTATAGAAAACACACTTTTAGTAAGGCTTGTCATTGCACATTAATCATTGCATGAGGACTTATGCTGCTGCAGCCCATACTCCTTTGAGTGGCCAGTTGGGAGAATAGCATGGCTCTCAGATTGATTTTCACAAAGAGCAAACACAGAGATGGACAAAATGAAAGAGACAAACTGGGAACAAAGATAATACAGGATCAAAGCTGGAGCTGATGTAGCACATAAGCTAACTCAATTTGATGCACTTCAACTTTGCTGAAACCTTTTTTGAAGTGTTAGCAGCTAATATGCACACCAGGACGTGTGTGTGCACGGACATCCCCCCCCCCGAGACACATGTGCATATAACACACAAACACAGAGGAGGTCATTAAGGATGCTTCAGCCCATTTCCAAACAGGCAGAAACCTTGAACCCCTTGCCCCTTCAGGCACACACTTGCTCCGCACTGACTGGTTGCACCGTCCTTGTCAGCTTCCTAAATAACAACGTCCAGAATAACTCTGTTGTTTTGCTCACATCCAGAAACCGCTCAAACAGCTGTTACAATGAGAACGCCAATACCTCCTAACAGATAGCATTTCACGTAGCACTAGACAAATATCTGAAATATGGCGAAAATGCTGTGAATCTAGGAGTTCAAGGATTTGGATACAACATGGTTTATGTTATGTATAGGCACATCCAATGCATGTCAGAGGTTTTGTTTATCTGTCTATTATGCAAATTGGGACAGTGGGATGTGGCTGAAAGGGATTTTTTCCATTATGACAAAGATTTGCCAGTAAATAGACGAAACATGCTGAAGATACTACAGCATAATTTCACATGGCAGGAGATGAACCTCGCAGTAGATTCAGTACACTGCCTGCACTGAAAAGAAATGGAGCGAACAAAAACATAATTGAATTCCTCTGAAAAACAGAAAGAATAAAAGGACTGGAAAATGTATTACAATGAACACTGGGAATAAAATAAAAGTTTTGGGCTTCCAGCTGCAAATATGCAGAGTAGGGAACAGGCTGTTTAAACTGCTCTGGCAGCCTGCTGCTCAGTCAATCAGAAAGGAGGAATGTATTTTTTAATGCAATCAATGTAATTTAAGTGCTCATTCATCAGTAAACTCCATATCAAATGACAGCTCTCGAACAGAATGCATCATACACCTGCTGTCACATCATGTTTAGAGATTTTTAACCCAAGCTCCATCACAGCTGGATCCTTTGCTTAAATATATGCATGTCAAAAATGAGCCGCTTATATTGCATAGCAGCAACCAGAGAGAGTTGTGTCTTTCTTTAGGAATGATGGGGAGTCACAAGCCACACACACACACACGTAGATGCGCACACTTACTCAATCACAGTATGAGGTTGGGGGCACATCTAGGCAGAAAAGAGAAAATATCATCAGTCAATAAATGAGATCCAGCAGAGGCAGACTCACCTTTGAGGATTTTCTGGCCATGCAGTACGTCTCTCGAGACAATCACTGTGTAGAAGTTCTGGGAGAAGCCTGGTCTGCATGGGGGTTTGAGGGGCTGGCCTGCCTTACTCCCCTGAGGAGCAAAACAAGACAGCCTGTTAAGCACTGGCAAATTGACTCGCAGCCACGGGGTCACAAGCTGATCTCGCAGTCTTTTCAGACTGATACTGAACCTCACAGCCTCTCTGGCTGCAGTGAGTGATTTGCTTCAGATTACAGCATGTTGCACTATAGGACCATCTGTGTAGAAATCCACATCTGGGGCTGAAGACAACTGATCAGAATAACTGCAGTGAAAGATAAGTCTCATATGAGCCAAGAAATTGATCATTTTAATGATGGTCATCATCACCATGACAGGCAATGACATTATCATCACAAGCTGATTATGGCGGAATTATAACACAAGTGATGATGACAATAATAATAACCATCATTAAGATGCTGACTGTGGCTAGCAGGAAATGTTTAACCTACATGTTCAGTATATAGTTTATGCTGAAGGGTGTGAGCAAGACACACACACACACACACACACACACACACACACA